CTTGGGAATAAATGTCAAGAGCCGTCATGCCTCGAGAAGTTAAACGGGGAGTAACACAGGGGGGGTGTAGAGGGAGGTTTAATACTGTGGTACAAGGGCTAGTGAATCTTTGGTTGTAGCCTTGGTTGTTCTGACGCATGGTTGTTGTATGTAAATGTCAAGTTATTGTTCGCTATCTCTCATTGTCTATTTAATTGCCTTGCTATCGTTTTTATTGAATATGCCGTGACTGTGAGCATGACTTTTGTGTTAGGTAGGAAGTGCTACTTACGGAGTACCTTACGTACTCACCCTCCCTCTTTATCATTATTTGTTTCAGGTGTGAACAGGGTCGACCGCGGTGATGATGGGGAGAGGGCTTGACCAAGGAGGGATCACTAGTCGAGTTAGTGAGGATAGAGGGAGGGGTCGTTTGGTACGAGTAGCGTTGGGATTTATGTTATTGCTAGGTGTGGACCAAGGAGAAATTTTGTATTCTTTAGAACTATTTTATTTTGTTATCGATGATGCTGGTAAACGCGTCACTGTTGTCGTTGGAGTTTAGGTGGGCGGTTGTTTTATTTATTTAAGAATTTTAGCCACTGAGGCGAATATGAGATGTCTTTGTTTTTTTTTTTAAATTGCCCACGGAGGGCGAAGTTTTGACAGTTTATAAAATTGATATTTCTGGTGGAACGTATGGGAGTCGAAGCTTTATTTCATTTAAATTATTTCCCAGGGAGTTGATTATCTCGTGTTTAGAGTTAAGGCTAGCCGGGTGAAGTATTTAGCGTTGCCTCGGATGGTATATAACATTCTGGGGCGTTACAGTTACACATGTTCCGGCATCCACCTCCAATCCACGACAAGAAGAGAAAGCAGAACCCATAAGTTCAGAAGAGAAAGGTAAGAAAGCGGAAAAAGGTAAGCACGTAGTGCCCAGCACTACCCCCCAGGTAGGTAATATTAATATTCCTCCACCGTTCCCCAAAAGGCTAGTTAAAAAGAATCAAGATAATAATTTTAAGTTCTTTGAGATTCTAAAATAGTTGCATATAAATATAACTCTCATAGATGGTTTAGAGCAAATGCCTAACTACACCATGTTTTTAAAAGACAACATATCTAGGCGGAAGAAATTAAGTAAGCATGAGACGGTAGCCTGAACAAAGTGTAGTAGTGATGCTCTATGGAATCCATTGCCTGTTAAACCTAAGGATGCAGGTAATTTTACTATCATTTGCTTAATAAGTGGTAAGAACTTAGGCAGAGCATTATGTGACTTAGAAGCTAGTATTAATCTTATGCCTCTTTCTATCTTTAAAGAGTTAAATATAGGAGAAGCTTGTCCCACTATTGTGACTTAACAACTAGCTGATACGTCCATAAAGAAACCGGAAGGAAAAATAGAAGATGTGCTTATGAAAGTCGATAAGTTTATTTTTCCTGCAGATTTCATAATTTTGGATTGTGAAGCAGATCTTGAGGTGTTGATCATTCTTGGGAGGTCATTTTTAGCAATTCGAGACACAGTATTCAATGTTCGGAAAGGAGAGATCATGATGAAGGTCAATGATCAGCAGGTAACCTCAATGTCCTTGATGCGATACGTCTCCTGGATGAAGTTGAAGACTGCTCTGCAATAGGGGCAATCATGGAGGAACTACAGGAAATGATTGTGGAAGGCTTAGAAGCTGATTTGGAGGCCGCAGAAAAATAAGCCAAAATTGCACCTGGCGCAATGTTGCCCCAACAGGAACATTTCGAGCTTTTGCAGCCGACAATAGCTGATTTGAAGGCCTTGCAACCTTCCATCATTGAACCTCCAAAATTGGAGAAGAAACCCCTACCTTTTCATTGAAAATATGTTTATTTGGGTCTAAATGATACTTTGCCGGTTATCATTTCTTCTTACTTAACTAATAAACATGACTCCTTGCTTTTGCAAGTTTTATCTAAGTATAAGAGAGCTATTGAATGGACCATAGCAGACATAAGAGGAATTAGCCCTACATTTTGCATGCACAAAATCATCCTAGAAGAAGAAGCCACCAATTCTATTGAGTGCCATATGAGACTTAACCCCAAAATGAGAAAGGAGATCATAAAATGGTTAGACAACGGGGTGATCTACCCCATTTCTAATAGCAACTGGGTTAGCCAGTTCAATGCGTTCCCAAGAAGGGTGGTATGACAATGATTACAAATGATGACAATGAGTTGATCCCGACAAGGACGGTAACTGGTTGGAGAGTGTGTATGGACTATCGTCGCCTAAACAAGGTAACTCGAAAAGACCATTTTCCACTTCCTTTTAGACCAAATGCTTGATAGTTTTGCAAGGAAGGAGTGCTATTGCTTCCTAGACAGGTATTCTGGTTGTGTTTCAGAGGATGTCGTTTCGTCTTTGTAATGCTCCCGCCACCTTCCAAAGATGCATAGCTGCTATTTACTCTAATATGCTAGAAATATCAGTAGAGATATTCATAGATGATTTTTCTGTGTTTGGTGAGTCGTTTGATGTTTGTTCAGGGAACTTAGAGAATGTTTTAAAAAGGTGTGAAGAGACTAACCTTGTACTTAATTGGGAGAAGTGTCATTTTATGGTACGTGGAGGAATAGTCTTAGGTCACATAATTTCAGAAAAGGGAATTGAGGTTGATAGGGATAAAATAAATGTGATTGCAAAACTACCCCCTCCTACAATTGTAAAAGGTGTTAGAAGTTTCTTAGGACATGCGAGTTTCTACCACCGTTTTATAAAAGATTTTGCGAAAATTTCTAAACCCTTGTGTCAGTTCTTGGAAGTGGATCGACCTTCTGTTTTTTGTGAACATTGTTTGAAAGCTTTTGAGACACTTAAGAATGCACTTAGCTCAACACCTATCATAATTGAACCAGATTGGAACTTTCCGTTTGACCTAATGTGTGATGCAAGTGATTTTGCTGTAGGTATGATGTTAGGTCAACGAAAACGTAAAGTTCTTCATCCTGTTTATTATGCAAGTAAAACTTTGAATAGTAGTCAGTTAAATTATATTGTGACTGAGAAAGAACTTTTGGCTGTTGTTTTCGCATTTGATAAGTTTCGTTCATATTTGATTGGGACTAAAGTGATAGTGTTTACTGATCATTCTGCACTTAAATACTTGTTTGCTAGAAAAGAAGCTAAGTCTATGTTAATTAGATGGATATTATTGCTACAGGAGTTTGATTTAGAGATAGAAGATAAAAAAGGACAAGAAAACCAAGTAGCGGATCATCTATCAAAGCTAGAGTCTTTTTTGTAGCATGATAGTTGTGAGAGTAGAGAGCATTTTATCGATGAGCATTTGTTAGCTATTTCTGAAGTCCTTTGGTATGCTGATTATGCGAACTATCTAGTTAGCAATATAATTCCTAATGACTTGAGTAAGCACCAGATAAATAAGTTCTTTCATGATGTTAGGTTTTATAGATGGGACGAACCTTTCTTGTTTAAACTAGGACCTGACAGTATTCTTCGCAGGTGTGTCGCTGAGCATGAACAGAAGGAGATTCTAGAGGTGTGCTACAAATCACCGTATGGTGGACATTTTGCTGGACGTAAGACTGTGGAAAAGGTTCTCCAAAGTGGTTTCTTTTGGCCGTCCCTATTTCAAAATGCCCACATATTCACTCAAAGTTGTGACCGTTGTCAAAGATTTGGTAACTTAACACGGAAACAACATTGGAAGTTGAACTTTTCAATGTTTGGGGCATCGACATCATGGGTTCGTTCCCACCTTCATTCGGTAAGAATTACATTCTATTGGCTGTTGATTATGTCTCGAAATGGGTTAAGGCTTTGGCCACCCCTACTAACGATGCCAAGGTAGTTTCTCTCTTCTTGCAAAAGTTTATCTTCACTAGATATGGTACACCTAGATGCTTGATTAGTGATGAGGGTACACACTTTTTAAATAGAGCAGTCAGTAATTTGTTGAAAAAGTATAACATTCATCATAACATTGCTACTGCATATTACTCTCAAACTAATGGATTAGCGGAGGTATCAAATAGGGCAATAAAGTCAATTTTAGAAAAGACTGTGAATGTGAATAGGAAGGACTATGCTATTAAACTTTGATGATGCTTTGTGGGTGTATATAAGTGTTTATAAAACTCCATTAGACGTGTCCCCTTATCGCATTGTTTTTGGAAAAGCATTTCATCTTCCGTTAGAGCTAGAATATAGAGCATTTTGGGCTACCCAGAAACTAAATTTTGATTATGTTACTGCAGGTGAAGCGAGATTGCTCCAGTTACATAAGTTGGATGAGTTTTGTCAGTTTTCGTATGAGAATGCCAAGATGTACAAAGAGCAAACCAAAAAGTGGCATGATAAAAAGATAATGGACAAGAATTTAGAACCTGGAAACTTAGTTTTGCTATTTAACTCTAGATTAAAGTTGTTTCCAGGTAAGCTTAAGTCTAGATGGTCCGGCCCATTCGTAGTTGAACATGTTTATCCACATGAAGCAGTGGATTTAAGGGGCTCCAAGGGTAATATCTTTTAGGTAAATGGGCATCGGGTCAAGAAATATTATGGTGAGTATATTGACAAAGGTGAAACCTCTGTATTACTGAAATACCCGTGAAAAAACAGTGGAAACAGTCCCTTGGGCAGTTTGGGGGGCGTTTTTATGTAAATCTCAAAGAATCTCAAAGTCTCTCTCATCTATCTCTTTTTCGACACACTTACGGTTTATTGGAGGGATTTTCGTTGTTGATCATGAAGCAAGCTCAAGAACCATGAAATGTTCTTCTTCCTCCAAGCCACACGACAAATTGAAGGAGAAGAAGAAATTGTTGTTGCCTCCACCAACCAAACCGTGTATGATTCCTCTTGAACCTCCTAGCATTTCTCATAAAAAGCTAGTTTTTAATCGTATGAAACAAAGAAGAAAATATGACGAAGCTATAAGAATGAACCTTAGGAGAAATCTATCCATAAGTGGTACAAATTCTGAAAAAATTAATATGGAATCTAATGATGCTAGGGTTAATAAATAAGGTCATAGTGAGAAGAAATTTGGAGGAGTTAGTAAAGTCTATCTTCGAAAAAATCAATCTTTAGAGGAAAAAAGTGTTGTTTTAAATGAGGAAATCGCTAAACTTCATGAGAGAGCGGAGATGTTCAGTAAAAATAAAGAAATCAGGGATAAAGATAATGAGAGAGTTTATGCTAAAATTGAGGAACTAAACATAAAATGGCAAGAATTCATGGAAAACTCGAAGAAAGTGAGTGAGGAGATTCAGCTTGAGTTAAATATCATGAGTATGCATCGTGGGATGAATCTTTCTCAAGATAACCCCGTTTTCGAGTCTTTGGAACTGTCTATCCCTCCCCCTCTTTCCATTACTGTTGTTGTGCATGTTGAAGGTCAAGAACAGGTTAGCGGTGACTCAGAACACGACATAGAGCCCTTGGAGCATTCAGATTCGGCCATGGTCGAAATTCAATGCCAAATTGCGCCTCACGCAATTTTGGATGAAACTCCACCGACTACTCTACAAGGTATTTTGTCTCCATCTTTTCCAGATCCTATCTCGACTTAAAAGCCCCTAATTTTTTATGATGTAACAGGAAAGGACAACGTCGAAAATTGCCGAAATTTTGGTGTCGTTGAATGAAGCAAGGGGAAACGATCCATTGGATGATGATGAAAACAGTGGGGCAGCACAAGGACAATTGAATGTTGATGGAAAGGATGAAGATCTTGGAGCATTACCCCAATAAGTGCATGGAGATGAGTTTGAAGAGGAGGAAGACAATGATGATATCTCTCAATATGAAGCGAGAGTACGAACTCCGGGTCATGAATCTCAGCAAGATGGTGAGGAGCCCCCTGCACAAGAGCAAGAAGGAACATCGGGTCCTGTGGATGTCCCTAGTGGGGCCATGGAGGAATCATCTTCCTCTTCTTCACAAGGTAAGACCTTTTCTTTGTCTAGTTTGAATGTTTCTAACCCAAATTTTGTTGCTACTGCAGAGACATCAGATGAGGAGGTGAGCTTGACTAAACTAGTGAAGAAAACACAAAAGAATAAGAAAGTGGCAGAAATTGCGCCTGGCACAATTTCTAGGCCTCGGACCCAAGCTGCTGTAGCACGTTGACTGAACAAAAAGAAGTCGAGGTTGGTCCATCTAAAAAAACCAAAAGGCTAGGGTGCAAAGTGGGGCAGAAAAGCCATTTGAGGAGGCCAACGAAGAGGAGCTCGATTCTACCGAACAAACTCCATCAACGGTAAAAATGGTGGTATTGGAGGTACGGAAGCCCAACTTCACAGCACGTGAAATCCTAGTAGAGAGGGGCTTTGATGAAGCACAAGAGCCCGTACCGGAATATGTTAGGAGGACGCTTATGGAGAATGGTTGGGAGATGTTGTTTGCCCCAACTATGCGTGTATCCGAGGCCTTGGTCAAAGATTTTTATGCTGCCATCAATCCCAACCGAGGGGATGTAGTGAGAGTACGGGGTAAAGTAGTAAAATTCTCGCCTTCCATTATTAACACTCACTATGGTTTGTTGGATGTCTTTAATGCCATAGGTAATGAGATTTTGGTGCATCCATCGGACGAGCAAGTTGAGAAGGCGCGTAGGCTTATTTGTAGACCACACAA